TTAATGGAACAAAGAAGAAAAACATCAAAAATTTACCAATAAAAAAGAGAAATAGGAAAGAGCACGTTAAAAAATATATTTGAGGGAAAACGGAAAAAAAGGAAACGGGAACGAGGTTTACACGAACAAATGATGATGACATAATTAATGTCGAAATATTGAATCCCAACACGATGGCGTGTATAACAAATAGACAGTACGCCAAAAAGAAACCAAGAAGAGAAAGGACAAGGGATGGAGGAAGAGAAAATGATGATCCTCTGAACCCGGAGGTTTGTATCCTGATGTGTCCCAGTGAAAATAAAAAGAGGCGATTTAATAAAGTTCAAGGCAGACAAACAATTAGAGCCTTCCTGAATATGCCAACAATTTTATTTTTAATTTAAACCTGTTTTGGGAATTTTTTTATGTTAAAAAAAACTTAGTAGGCCTAACATAAAACTTTTTGACACAAATTGATGTAATGTAAACGTCTTGTGAAAATAGAGTAGAGAAATATTAAAAACAAACCCAAAAAATTGATTCGTACGATTGACATAAATGAACAAGCTTTAGAATAAAAGGAGAAAAAATAAATATTAGCTGACTAGTCCATGCGTGTCGGAGGTCAAAGCGTTGGTGTGATCTCTTTTTTCTATCTATATGGTGTGATATGCTTATTTTACCTGTTGAAATGAATACAGACAAAAAGGTAATTGATTCAACGGAAAACCTTAAAACCACTCTGGAAGCTATAGAGTAAATTACTTTCAACCAAATAAAATCTTTAGTAACATTGTAAATAAAATATTTAAAAGAGACGTTTTATTTATATTTATCTATTTTTATATTCGAATATATTATGTATTTTGTACTGTTTGTGCTGCCAGGAAGGAAAGCCCCGTGACAGTAAATTTGCGTTGCTTTTGGGCAATCCGGCCAGTCATCCCTACTTGTTTTGTCAACACTGTTAAAATTTCATCTAAAAACCGTCACATAAAATGTGATGGAACGTGGGATTTGAACACGTTCATTTTTTTTATACAATTTGATATTAATGTGATATGACGTTATCATATCTATATATAGGCACGTCACATTTTTTTATCACATAAAATTTGATAGTGTAGACAAAATTTTACTGCTGAAAAAAATTATATGATAGACATAGATAGACCCACCCTTTCAATGTTTTCGGAAATGATACTCACATTACTAATGTGTCTACAGTAAATTATTACATTATTTTTGGTTTGATTCCGTTTTCTTAATTTTCCTCTTTGACATTATTTTTAGTATGAATTATTGTTTATTTCTATGATTGGTTCTAATTAATAATACTAGTCAATGTTCCTTTTGAAAAGCACGATGCACCATCGAAATTAGAACATTCAGTCATTTTTAAAAGACAGTCAAATGGATGAAAAATTATTATCAGACATGGATCTCACTTAAATCTTAAGCTTGGATCGAACAAACCATCCAGTTATCAGGATATTTGTCGATCAATCGTAGGTGACCAAAACAGAACTGAACTGGAACCAATTGGTTTATTTAATACAGTTAAATAGGAAATCTATAAACTTCAGTGGAAATCCAGATACAATAATACTGTATCTTATCTGGATATACACATAAGATTTACATCAAACCTTGTCAATTTAATAAAGTTTAGTAGACATACGTTTTATTTGAACCAGCAACTTTTATTCAACTGCAATAATCAGAGTGATAGTCATCACTGTACTGAGCATAGAAATGCATCGGAATAGAGGGCTCACTGCACTTTGTGTATAATATTAAACACCTTTTCTTCTTCAATGATTATCTCACGGGAGTTTCCCGGAAATCTGGACGGCCTTCCGCACTCCACAGACAAGCAAGAATCTCCCAGAAATTAACCCATCTCCGCAAATTCATAATTTTTTCATGTTTTCACTGCTTTATTATAAATTTTTTTCACGGAAGTCAGTGCCGATGTGTATCACTATGTGCAGGAAAAAGAAAATAAAATCTGTTATAAAAAAAAACTGAGTAAAAACTGAGCTCACTAACCAGATCAGTGGCCTGGACCAGTGGCATAACTATGTTGTAAGGGGCATTGGTTCAAGAGTACAGTCGGGGTCCTTGACGCATGCAAATTGACTGACCATTTCAACTAAGGTTATAAGTTAGAGGAATTTTAAATTTTTGTTCTGAGAGGGCATCTTTGAACTGAGCCAGCTATTGTCTGGACTTACCATAATAAGCGTAGCTTTTCTACTTCTAAATCTTCCCGAAATGACTTCTTCCAACTTGTGATCCCTGTATAACAAAGCAATGTTCATCCAATTATTAATTACATAAAGTATCAAATACCATAAAATAACATTGGCATCATGTGTTCTTTCTAATGTCGGCATGATACATTTAAAAGTTTATTCCAATTTCCAATAACTATACCTTCTTTACAGTGATTTAACCCTCAGGAAAAGTTACTAGCATTTAATTCTTTTATGAATCACGTAAGCAAATATTGTGATGTCCACACTTCCACTAGCCTTATGTATAGTCCTTGAATTCGTTATATTTTCTGCTTGGACCAAATAGTGCCATAATTACTGATCAACTTGTGTTCATTATTATATAATTATTACACTGTTCAAAAGAGTATAAATTAAATAAACGATTTTTTGATATAAATTCAATTGGCTCACGAGTGGCCATGTTTTTTACCAAATAGCTCAAGTGAACCGAACACAAAATATTGAGGTTTGAATGTCATTGTCACACCTTTTGTCCACATCTTTTACTGATATTATAAGCTAAGCTTTAGTTAACAATAAAAATGAAAAGAAAACCACTAAAGGTGGTTCTTTCACTGTTCCCTGGTTCTCTGAATACCAGTAGTTAACGTCGCTTACTCGTTAATTTAAAGATAGTTCGATAAAAGTTAAGCCCGTCATATTATACACTTTTGTTAATTTTGTTCCTTTAAATCCACGATGTACTTCTAATTTTTATTCCTAATTAAGAATGTTGAAAGGTTGGGATATTTTGGTAGGCGTAGTGAAAATTTTATTTCTTAATATATTCTGACAAATTCTTTCACGATTGCGTTACGCTTATAGAATTGTATAGGCCTAATGGAGGAGAGAAGAAGAATACTATGTAGTGCTTTTAATTTCCACTAAAAACACAGGTTTTCGTCAGTTAATAACGACGTTGAGTCCAGTTAACAATAGAGGATTCGGTGATGTTTGTTTACAGGCGGTCACGTGACATAACTTGGGTATACAGTACATCAAAGAACCTGTAGTTTCCTTGATCCAACTCAACACTCAAGTTACGTCACCGGACACCCATCACCGAATACCTCAACTCGACGGCAGACTGCCTTTGTACTACAGTAAACCGGGTGCTGTAGCCTTGAATAAATTGCCATTGGAGGGGTTTTAAATCTCACTCGGGTTTTAGTAACCAGTCCTAAGTCTTCTCGGATAAGGAGCCTAAAACCTCATACCCGGCGGAACCAGGGGCCTCAGAAGTCGCGAAAGCTCATTTCCCGCCTTCTGGGAATCAAAATTTTCCCAGGGGAAACACGGACCCCCTTTTTTTCGGGATTTATCGGTTCATGTAAAAATAATACTTATGCAATTATTCAATTTTGTTATGCATGTAGGCTATATCCACACACACATAAGGCCTATTTACTGTAATAATCAGAAAGTTCACTTGACCATTTTCAAGAGGGGGGATCGAAAACCTTCAACTTTGAAGAACTTAAAAGTCATTAAAAGACATCTAGCTCAAAGTCGGGAAAGCCCATTTCCCGCCATCTAGGGATCAAAATTTCCTGGGGAAGGACCCCTTCCTTTTTGGGGTTTTTGGGAAAAATTTTCACCCCACCCCATAAATTGGAACCCAGATCCCCCTGATTCATATTCCAATTCATCTTACTAGTAGGCCCCCGCCCCGCTTTCAAGAACGCCTCCGCCCGGCCCCGACCCTAACCCGGGACTCTAACGAACCCACCTCATTCTACGAGAAGAAGAGTAGTGGGTTGCCCGACCTAGGCCTCTAATATGGAACATCAAGCCATTGTTGCTGTGAACAGATAACAGCGTATCTACATACAGCAGTTGATGAAATAACAGGAGAATTAAATCACCTTTAATATAAAAAAAATAAAATAAAAAGAAAAGATACTTCATGATGATGATAACATTAAATAATTGGACAATTTATAGTTAGATTCATTCTATAAAGTTTAATAGAAATAATTCATTAATTACAATTTCTAATGAATACAAAAAAACACGAATATGCATATTATTGTAGACATAAGTGTAGTCCTCGAATTATCTTCGTTAAACCTTAGGAGGAAAGCTTAGGCTATGTCTGAACATTATGTTAATCAAATAAATATAAAGATTCATGGCATTATCAGTATAAACTAATTCCTCCATGGTAGTATATAGTAGGTAAGCATACTCATTATATCACTACAACAGGAAGTCATGTACTAGCACACCGTAGCATAGGGATATTGTTAATGAGAATGAAAGATTAAATGATGAAGTTGATGATTATGACAATTAGTACATTGATTATGAATACAATGATGATCATTCTTATCAACGAAGAGATCTAGCCCAGGGTCCTCCCCACTCTCCCAGGGTCCGTATGAATAATGATGATGATGATGATGATGATGTGATGATAATGAATAATAATGATGATGATGATGATGATGATGATGATGGAAAATGATGACGCGTTGATTGTGTCTTAATGATGATTTTGGTGATGATGAGCAAGAACCTGTTACGCCCAAGGACCCCAGACGCCTCCATTCCCATTGGTTTTCGGGTTGGAGTTGGTGGGATCCGACGCCGGGTAATTCACCGGAACCGCTTCGCCCTCATAAACTGCGAGCTTATCAAGTAAGTCAATCGTAATAGCGGTTTCAATGTTTGCAAGGTTGATCTCTTCCTTAGGATCTGCTGTGATGTTGAAGAGCCAAACAAGATTGCCTGTGTACGTAGGACCAGCTGTTGACGTAAGTCCTGCATCAGGGGGTGCATCCCAACCACTCGTTCCTGTAATTAAATACATATATTCATTAGAGAATTAAATATTTTGTATTGCATTTCAAGTAACCATCATAGGAACACGGTTTCTTGAAAAATAGGGGTGGTAGGACTTACAGCGCCCTCCTCTTCCGATATAGCCATCATTAAGACATTATCTCTGCCTTACTCCGCCTTGTAACTTTTAAAATATACCGTATCTGTGCCTATGTAGTCATACTAACATAGCCCTACATTCCCACTTTCGATTTTCCAACAAAAAATGTATTTTAGGTAAAATTGAGCTTTAATGTAATTACAGTATCAAATTTAGACACTTTGAATAATGCATTTTTATAGTATAAGAATGTCAGTTATAGTCACGTGGGCATCTAGATTAAATGTTTCATTTCACCAGTGATAGGCCTCTAATTTACCTTTGGTTCCTGTAATAAGCTTCATATCACCAGACCTAATAGCGGCGCTTATCCTAACGTTGAATGCGTATCCGTTCCAATTACGGCCGCCCCCTTTTTGTACTGACAACGGATCAATGTTGTAAAGGATTTCCGTTCGCGCCGACGCACTTCCATTCCTAAGGTTAAAAAGTAGGAAGACAAACATCACTTTAAAAACATGCATTTTTATCATTAGTTTCCCTGTGTAAACTTTAATTCGTTTGGTTAGTGTTACAGAGACTGTTTGATTGTTTGAAATTATCTGGTATCTTAATAGATACGAATAAACAGCAACGCATTAATATTTTTGTGATGAAATGGAAACGTGATATAAAAAATATAGAAGATAAAAAAAATAATACCTTATTGTATCCCATTGATTAACACCGTCAAGGGGCTTGGTTCCATTTGTATTCCATCCAGCAATGCCTTCCACAATCGTGGGCAACCAATCGCTGACGTGAATAAGTTCATTACTCACTGATCCCCTGACGTCATCATTAAGGAGTGGACTGTGAACAAATCCAATTGCACGTATACCGCCCTCAAAGAATGAACCCTTTTTGCCTCTCAGTGGCCAGTTGTTGCCACCTTGTCCATCACCACCATTGTCTGAATAATTATAATAATAATAGTATATATATATATATATTAATATTTTTTGTTCATCATAATCATCATCATCATTAATATATGGAAGTGGATATATTTACGTCGCTGTAAACAAATTTGGAAACGATATACGTGAAATAAATAACGCATGCGCAGTCATACTTTAATAAATTTCATCGTTCACTCGATCTAAATTAGCGTCGGCCCAAGCCGCGGTGCGCAAGCCTACAAAGGCACAGATTTCTTTGAAAGCCTAATTTTGTTTTTATTAAACTTGATTTATTTTCCTACTATAGTATGTAGTTTAACCATTAAATATATTATTAAATTATTGTGTTAACTTTTCAAATAAAAGTGATATTATCAGCTGGAAATATTTTTGTTCTTGTCATTTTACTTGCGTCTTTGTTGAATGAACACACGTGACAAAGTACAATATTACTAGGCTTACGCCAAAACATGAAGGTTCCCTGCTAAAACTAGCACTCAATTACCTAAAAATCAAAACGATATTCTCCAGGCCTAAGCCTGTATTGTACGATAGTCAATCATCACAAAGTAAATAACATTTTTTTCATTCAAACACATTTACCAACGTCGTCACTATAAAAAAAAACAGCATTGTTTACATTCTTTAGTCAGGTCGTCGAGCCCCGCTTGGGCATCATGGCTTGGGCTTGGGCCTCATGGCTTGGGCTTGGGCCGACGCTCCAAGTCCTGAAAGTTAAACCCAACGTACATTTAACCATAGAGAAAATAGAACTATTTCTATTCTATTTTCTGTTCTATTTTCTCTATGATTTAACCGGAGACAACTATACACGTGTATAGTTTGTCTCAGATTTAACCAGAAGCACATTTACGGGACCGATAATGCAAGTTTATTAAAGTGTGACTGCGCATGCGCTCCCTATTTTACGTGAATATATCGTTTCCAGATTTGTTTACGGCGACGTAAATATATCCACTTCCATATATTAATGATGATGATGAACAAAAATGCTAAGAAAAACAGTTAATACTGAAAAATGCGACGACACCAGGCACCCATAAAACGCTGCAATTGTTTAATTCCCGTAGGATGCACTACGTTTATGAATGTCCAAAAATACTTTTAGGTATCAAACAATTCCAAACAAGCCTCTTAGCTGTTCACTATATTTCCATGATAATTTGTTTATTTTTTAACACTTAAGAAAAACTTACAGTAAATAGGTAAATGATTATAACAGTATGTATTTTTGGTTTACTTACAAGAATTATTCCATTTTTTTAAACAGGGGTGAAAAATAGGCCTACCTACCGCTTGAGAATACGATTACGGTGTTGTTGTACATATCTGCGTTGGCTTTGAGTGCTTCGGTGATGTTGCCTATAGCCTCATCCATACAGGCCACCATACCGGCATACAGCAGTCGATCCATATCGTTGATAGTGCCATTGTAAGGGTCACTGTATTCAGAAGGGACTTGATAAGGTGTGTGGGGCGCTTGAAACGGAATGTACAGGAACATCGGCTGTCGTACAGAATAATAATAATAATAATAATAATAATAATAATAATAATAATAATAATAATAATAGGCCTATATTTATAGATGATTATTTTTTTTTAATTTCCAAATTAATCATTCAAGATATAAAACTCAATTACAACATACACAAGACCTTGAAACGAAATACATTGATTTTCAATAAGGTCCTGAATATTTACAAACATCGGATTATTATGATAATGGTGGTGATAATGATGATGTTGGTGGTGGTGATGTTGATGATATGATGAATCCGACAGTAAGACATTTACATATTTCTGACCAAACTGTATACCTCATCAGGATCATGATCTGATATGATGTCAACGGCTTCTTGAGCATAAACAATAGTTGAGTATACCCCATCATAGTCCCACTCAACAGACGCGTTCCGCCTAAAGTCATAACCACTGGCTTTACGATGCGTATAGTAATCTTCCCCGCCTGTCAGATAGCCTGGTGCATGAAAATGATAACGATTATAATGACGGAAATGGTAAGCATAATGATGATGATGATGGGGAGGAGGAGAAGGAGGAAGAGAAGGAGGAGGGTGGTAGTAGTGACGACGACACTAATAGTAATAATAATAATAATAATAATTAATAATGATAAATAATAATAAATAATAATAATAATAATAATAATTAATAATAATAATAAATAATAATAATAATAATAATAATAATAATAATAACCATAATACTAATAATGATAATGATAATAATATTAATCATATTCCTCACCTAAGAATGTATCGAACCCTCTGTACGTTGGTAGACAGCCTTCTTCGTAGAGCCCAAGGTGCCATTTCCCGACCATGTGTGTACTGTAACCTGCTTCTTTCATTTTGTCAGCAATGGTAACTTCATCAAGAGGGAGGCAACTTGGCTGGTTCTGCATAAGAATACCATGCTGGAGCCCGGTTCGAATCTATGGACGTTAAGAATGTGTTAATACCTGTAATACTGGCTTAGAGATACACTCAAAATTTTAAAAAAAGTCGATGAGCCCTAGCAAGTTCGAATGCAAACATAATCTGAATTTCCGCACGTGAGCAGTGGGAGGCATATTTATGGGGTAGTCGGGGACGGGGAAGTGCTGAAATGCCCACACAAAAAAACCTAATGCCCAAAAAAGAAATTTGCTGAGGAAAAAAATGCTGAAGCAGCTAAAATCACTCCATATCGCATTATTTTGGCAACTAGCACTTTAACAAAATCATTGAGGCCCCTTCTAATCTCCACGCACCCCATCAGGCCTCCTTCCATGCCGTTATTCCTGAGACCATTTTAAAATTCAAGATGGCCGCCACAAAAATCGTCGAAAATCAAATATTTTAGTATATAATTGCACTTCTCTATAAAAAATGTTAAATTTGGTGTTTAATCATATATGTTATTGAGCTCAATAGTCCAATGAGCATAGTTTCAGAAGCTAGAATGTCAGCCATTTTGAAATTCAAGATGGCTGCCGTAATAATCGTTGAAAATCAAATATTTTAGTATAAATCCACTTCTTGTCCTTGAAAAATTGTAAATTTGATGTATTCTTATATGTTATTAGGCTCTGCAAGTCCAATAAGCATAGTTTCAATAAGCTAGAATGGCAGCCAATCTAAAATTTAAGATGGCCGCCACAAAAATAGTCAAAAATCAAATATTTTGGTATATAATTGCACTTCTCCTTGATAAAAAATGTTAAATTGGTGTCCAATCATGTATGTTTCTCAATAGAAATGGTAAATTTTGTGTCTAATGACTTGTTATGGGCAATCTGAGTCCAATTAACGTAGTTTTAAAAGGATGACAACTATACGTTTTTCCAATATGTCTGCCATTATTATGTACACATTTTACCTTACAAAATGCAAAAATAATAAATCTTTAGAAATACTACCACTTATATTATACAATAAACCATAAGCATTTGTTTCATGAACCTGTCTGTCTGTCTGTCTGGAATAAATCACAATTAGGTTCATATGTCATCATGCTCGGACGATTCATCGCTTGTTTCATAATCACTCTCATCGCTACTGTCACTATCATTTCGTTCTGGAACTTTAATATCACTGGGTAGGTTTGGCTCAGTACTTCTTTCGGCATAGCACTTTCCATTAATCAGTTTCCACCCACTTTTTGTTGGTAATTGTTTGATTCTTAAGGAGAGGTTTAATTGATTGTATGATAGATAGTTGGCTCTTTTAATATGCTGAAGTAGTGAATATTTGTCTGGTGCCAATCTTACAAGTGACTTTCTCTTTTTTTAGGACTTCCACTTGGTCAACCTTGCCTCTGTTGTGTTTTTGCTTTTGTTGTCGTTGTATATAAACTTTAAGACAAACTTAAGTAAGTTTTTCAAATGTTGAATTTGTCACAGCAATAGATTCTCTACAGGATTTCAACAGATTTTTTCTTCTTTGCTTTCTCGAACATTATTGAAAATCTTTGCATTTTCCATGTCCAAAGAATGCAGAATTACTGTCACAGCCGGTCAAAACATGAAGTTGAATTATGATTTCTGCCATTTAATGCCTACACATATCCTTACAATTGACAAACACAGTTTCTTCTGACTTTCTATAGATCATTAGTTCTCCTGGCAACTTGTGTGCAACATATGCAGCCGGAACATACACATCTGTATCCTCCTAGTCTATTACTACTGGTTTAGTAACTTTGCAGCTTGTTCTGAGTTAGTAGTAAATAGTCAGCATCGATTTATCTACTTCTGCCTGACTACAATTAAATTCTGGTATCTCACTATTATCTGCTAATCAACACAATTTTATAAAGAGTACAACACTCAAATTCCTTCAACTTTATACTTCTTCTTGCTGGGGTTTCTTTAATAAATTCTTGTATTCTTGACTTGTTGTAATCGCTCTTCGGGATTTTGTTAAACTCTTTACTTGATAAAAACTGGTCCTGTAACTTCATGTGTGTATTAGGTATTTTCTGCCCATTTGATCGTCATTCTCTTTCTTCATACTTGATCGACTCTTCTTTACTGTATGGGTCATTAACACATATAATGGCTGATGCATTGTGATGTCTTTTAAATATAATATCTGTGCATTTGTTGACATAATTCTCCCGAGTAAACAAGGAACCATCTTCATTAAGCCTTTGTTCTTTATTAGGGATTGCCTTTCTGATGACCATGCCCATATCGATGATAGTGTATTCTGTATCTGCAGAATTGGTTTTTGTATCCATACAGTGGAAAAGTTTTGATTTCTGGCATTTTCTAAATGTACCATTAGCATTGTATATGGCCAGAGATTTAGAGGTTACTCTCACCAAAGTTACAACTTTTGATCGACAAGTGGAATTATATACCAAATATTTTATTTTGACGATTTTTGTGGCGGCCATCTTGAATTTCAAAATGGCTGACATGCTTGGTTTTTTAAACTATGTTCATTGGACTCAAAAATGTGAATAAAATATGATTAGACCCCAAATTTAACATTTTTGAGCGAGGAAAATTGCAATTATATATCAAAATATTTGATTTATGACAATTTATGTGGTGGCCATCTTGGATTTCAAAATGGCTGCCATCCTAGCTTATGGAAGTTATTCTTATTGGACTCAGAGAGCCTAATTACATATGAGTAGACATCAAATTTACCATTTTTCAACG